AAATTATACATATTTTTATATAAAAAAATCGTTTCTATCGTATTTAGTATAAAAAAAAAACGTAACAGGTATGTTTACCTGGGACAAATAGTCCGACTAGGTAAGTCCAACTTCGACCGAGAGATCAATCGACGGATTCAACTCGACTGGGCAGCATTCGAGAAATTGCGGTACATCTTCTCGTCAGGTATACCTAAAAAAAAACGAGACTACAACCAGTGCGTGTTGCCACTTATGACCTATGGAACTGAGACGTGGTCCTTCACTGCTGGCCGTAGGAAGCTCAAGGTCGCTCAGCGAGCTATGGAGAGGACTATGCTTGGGGTTTCTCTGCGTGATAAACTTAGAAATAAGGATATCCACAGTAGAACCAGAGTAACCTACATAGCCCCACGGATTAGTAAGCTGAAGCAGGCCTCTGTCACTCTTGCGTGAAATGATTACCTACAATCGCGAGGCGCCCCCAGGGCAAAACGCACTCGGGGCTAGTGCGTTCTACGCGATTGAATGTTAAAGTTTTTTAACGCTGTTTACGTAAATTGTTTTTGTAAATTCTTGTTGAAATATCGAAATAGTTTTTGTTTAGTGTTTAATATATTTAATTGTAGGATAAAATAGTTGAATTTTTTTTAATGTAATTTAAGAATTATATATTATATGTATATTACCTATCTATTTCATAAATTATATTGACAAAACGTCGTTCCTAGTATAATTGTTGCGGGGATGGGGATGGATGCCTAATGAGCAAACAAACGGATTCAGCCTACATCATTTTTTAAGTTACCGAAGTATAACGAAAGGTGAATTTATTTCATTTCTTTGTTAGATAGGTACTTATAGAGAACAAAGAATTAAGTAATAATTTAACTACAGAAGTAATACCGAAGTACTTTATTACAAAACTTAGTTGAAATTTATTTTACTATCCAAGTACCTACTTACATATTATCTATACTTGTCTTTAGTAATTAAATACTGAAATTAAAACTTTGTTTACAAGATTTTTTACTAAGTAGGATACGATAACATTTCTGTTAGGAATCGTATTTCGGGTTTATTTGTTGTTTACTCTTATCTACCTATTTCTTCCGAGCCAAGCATCGTGATTCCCGACGAATGGCCTTGCAAGTTGCATGCGTTGGGTATCACAGAACTCACAATGTAGTTTTTTTACTATTTATCAGCCCTTAGTGACCACGGAAATTTCGTTGTGACGGAGGAAGGAAAAAAGATGCAAAGTAATACGGACACTCGCGCTCAGCGATAAAGTTTTATTTAGCTTGCGTGCGCCATTTATCTGATTAATAATAACTATGTAGGCTATTAAAACGTCGACAAGTAGTCAACATCAAAAGAGTGCAACTTCTGTAAGTAATACTATTATTTATTCTGTGGCTGAAGTGGCAAGGGCCGGCATAGCTTGAAGAACCGACAACCAATGGGGAAAAAGGATTCTCGAGTGGCGGCCTCTTACCGGCAGGCGAAATGTAGGGCGCTAGATGGAGTGACGACCTGGTAAGACATGCAGGAAGCGGATGGATACAGGTGGCTCAGGACCGTGCTTTGTAGTTTTGGGGGAGGCCTATGTTCAGCAGTGGACTTGTGAAGGGCTGTAATGATGAAGCGTAACAGGAATTAAGATATTTTCTTTTCTTTAAAGTTAATAAAAATTTTGAACATGTGGTTATAAATAAATACCGATTACACGTGCTTTCGTAGAAATATTCATTATAAAACCAATAGTTAGATTATTATTGGAATTTTTTTTTAAAACTCAATCTGGCAGCACAGCAACCTGCCATTATGTGAATTTATTCACGCTTCCCGTTCCCGCTATTTGTTTCTCGATGATGGAGTTGCTAATATTTTATGATATGTAATTCGTTTACGTAGTTTTGTGTCGGATTATTTACGTTGAATTGCGCTATCTATTATTCCTCCGGTAAATGATCACGTAAACCATTTTCAACGTTTTGGTTTTTGTGATATTTCTTCTCCATTGACAGAAAGAAAAATAATTTTAACCTACTGATAATAATATAAAATACTTCCCAAATGTGTTTGGAGGAACAGTTTGCGTTGTAAACCCGTACGCGATTGAAGGACGCATGCAGGAACCATATTTATAATATTGACTCATATTGAACTTGGAAAAGGAAATACGCGGGTCGGATAAGTTAGTACAACAGTGCAGAATTATTATTGTTCGCAAATTATTATAGAAGTAGAAAATCATCATGTATCGGATCTTCAAGGCTGTGAAACATCTGTAGCCTTTCTATATTTCAATTCGGATGCAGGTCCATGGGCTGCACCTGCAATAGTCATTTACCGTCAGTTGGGCTGTAAATTCATTTGTCACTTCTATTTTATAAAAAAATTACCTACGGTCTTATCAAATCTCGTTACATCAAACACGAGCCGATTAAATATCAATTTGTCTAATAGATATATAATTTTCGAAATTAATCGCAGACTTAAGATATTGGCCAAAAAGCTACCTACCTATCTAGTCAAAAAAAAAATTCAAGTCGACTAGAAGAATATTCATCTTTCAAGTTTTGGCGGGAACTTGAATGACGGCGGGTGCTGCTCCTGTATTATTGTATAATTAATGGTTTCAAGTAGATTTTGATACGTTAAAGTTATGCAATTTTGTGTATTTAGCACCTGCACATGTAACTATTGGAAATGGAAACGATGAAACAAGTGCTCCGATGGTACTTCTAATGTAAACCTCAAGTTATTGTCTACATAGGCGCCTTGATATACTACCGTAATCGACTGTCTGCTGGCTCAAGCTGCCGTCAACATCTCCCAAAAGCTTCGCTATGTGACGCATCAACGTATTGTAAAGAAGTCTTAAACAATTTACTTTAAAAGATAATTCTTATTACTTGACACTGGTAAAACTGCAACCGTACAGTTTCATTACCAAACATAGATGGGTGTAGATTTAATAACTTCAATGTATATTTCCAAATTTAATTTCTAAGGGAAAGATCTGTAACAATAATCTAATAAAATAACTTAGAAATTTTAAAACAAGTTTATTCTTGACGACAACACGCAAAATATATAAAAAAAACATCTAATAACAGCATTGTAACTCATATCATTAACAGGTATCCGTAGTATCCGTGGTATCAGCTAGAGGATTTCCTTTTTTGCTGCAGGAAAATTTGAAAGTAGCATTGGTAAACTTTGGCCGTTACACAATTCTTAACTTTAATTTTACTGTTAACCTACTTTATACATAATTAATTCATCGGTATCTCTCCAAAATGTTGTGTACTTAAATTTGTAAAAATAACTAACTTTTTTATATAATAAGGGTGACATACGAGCATACAGTCCACGAGTGGCGTGTAAGTGGATGATGTGGCCCATAGAAATCTGCTTTTCCTTCTACCCTCGATTAAGAATCAAAATGCAGATGTTTAGGAAAAGTCAGGGTTCTCAAAATACGATCTGAGAACAAACAAAACTATAGTTATATTTTTAACATTCCAAAGTAGGTGGGAGTAAAATAATATTATCCTGAAGGGTTTGTGGACGGTAATATTAATATTATCAACATAGCGCTTTATTTTAAGATAGCTATATTATTAAACAATAAAAACATTGATAAAACTATAGGCAGGAGACTTAAGGTTTCTTATCTACACTTCTACATCTACATCTACACTACTATTATAAAGAGGAAAGATTTGTTTGTTTGAATTGAATAGGCTCCGAAACTACTGGACCGATTTGAAAAATTATTTCACCATTAGAATCCTACATTATCCCGGATGAACATAGGCTATATAATATTTTCAAAAAAGTTAGGGATCCGTATGAAAACTTCGTTAATGTAACCCAAGGAGTGAAAAAAATAACAAAAAGAATCCTTATATCGCGTACGCTGCGGAAACTATTGATAATAGAGCAAAGTAATGTACGTCAGTTTTATAGAGGATATCAATATCTACAAAAAAAGTTTGCGATACCATATGTTTAACTATTACAGTTATGTCACAATAACTACTTTTTCATGTTAAAATGTGAAATAGTAACACCGGTACAAACCTTTATCATGCATAACCACCAATTACGTTAACCATGTAATTTCAGTAACATATTTCACTTTTTAAATCTTTGTTAATTCACCAACCGTCCGTCGTGATGTCTCTCTCGAAGTTCGCATGGCTAGGCGCAGACGCTTGATATACGCGGGTGAAACCGCGGGGCACAGCTAGTTTAAAATAATTTGTAAATAATTTAACAACTACAAACGCTAGTTAAATATTTTTTCTCTGGAAACAAAAATAGTATGTACGTAATTTATCTAAGTATTATTTTTATTTATTTTTTCGTTGCCATAATGATAAAGTTCAGTAACGATTTCGTATACATATTTATAAATAACGAAAATACACCTATAATTCTTATATTTACTGTCTTTGTATGTTTTCCCTATCATAATTCATTATTGACACGCAGTTAAATTCTTTTTAACATAATTATTAATCATTGACATAAGTGAGTGACAAATCGCGAAGCGCGATGCCACTCCACACTAATTATGCTAAGTATCAATAGTAACTAATTCAACAATAACAAATGATTGTTACAAACTGAACAATCTGCAACATAGGACATAGGTAAAGTGTAGGTACAACTACGTTAACTACACTACAACTATCATTTGATAGATATTTACACACTGTGCCCATGTATCAACAATGTTTCCATCGGACACAGGTTAACGCCCTTCATTTAAAATATAACGTGCATGTATAACAATCCTGTGCTACATTTTTCTAGCTTATTTGCATAAAAATAGTTATTACCCTACAGATATACATTAACAAAATAATAATCAGTTAAAAGATACATTACTTAAAATAACTTTGGTTATATTCTTGAACTGATAATGCATTCATATTCTACAACAAAATTTTATAAATATTACTTATATTTTGATGAATAAATCAAAGTGAAACTAAATATAACTATTCCTTGAATCCAGCTTTCACCCTGTAAAGAAAGCAAATAAATGAATAATTTATAATGTATATACATAAATTATTAATATATTAAAACATGTTTTGCTCTAATCTTATAAATTACCTCAGATGAAGTAAAAAAACTTTTTTTACTTCATCTGAGGTCAATTTTTCGATTTCATAAAAATATCTTCACATTTTTCGAATAAAATAGCTTAGAGATACCTCCTAGCATTGCTCTCTATGTGTTCATGAAATTTGATCACAATCGGTTCAACCATTCCAAAGATTAGCCCAGACATGCTAACAGATGGACAGACGGACAGACAAAACATTCCAAAATGTTTATTCATACCTTAACAGCATGCTAATAACCCCCCCTGCGCTATAGAACTTCCAGTTATTTCGATATTACAGACAGACACTTCAATTTTAATTATCTGTTATTTTTTAGTATTTGGACTAACTACATAATATATTTTTTTAAATATTTCGAAGACATGTGAAGTTCGCCAACACGCATTGGGGCAGCGCGGCGGACACTTTCTTGCCATAAAACCCTCTCAGAAATGAGAGGAGGCCTGCGCCCAGCAGTGGGTCGTACATAGGCTGAACCTTAATAACTACATAATATCGCTTATTTAAAGTAAAAAATATATTGTCTTTGTTTTAAGGATGACTAACTAGACAAAGTCAAAAAAAATCGTAATTATACGTATGAAAAAATAATTTTAAAACTAATATCTCAAAAACTAGCGTTTCCGCTGTACCTATATTATTTTACGATTAGACTAACAAAAACAAACTCATACATCCTAGTACCACTCCTCTCCACTGAGAGAAGCCCAAATCATGCAGTGCAATGATTTTAAATTTTGATTCTGATATTGATGATATTAATCTTAATGAAAAGTTTGTGTTAAAACTGTTATTAGTATGTGAAAGTGGGTACTTACCTATTGTTAATTACACGTTCTCAAAACGGGTGACTCTCGGAGATATTATCCCCTGATCAAATAAAGTCCTCTTTGGACTCCAAAGATTATTATTACCAATTGAAAATTATGGATTCGCTGACACACGGGCATGCATAAGCTGTCAACCCATTCAAATTTTCGAAATTTCTGGATTTTTTTTTCTTAATGTATTGTGTTTGTAGATTATTCAGAGACACTTAAAAGTAAATAAAATTGTACTTTTGATATTCCCAAATTACAAAAAAAATATCATAAATTGCTATATAAATCGAATCATGACAAAACGTTTACGTAACGGTACATATATGATTGTAATACAGTAACAAAAGCCTCTAAGTTCGTTCTTACTTCATATCAATTTTAGTAAATAAAGCAATGTGATTTTCTAACTATCCGTATCGTGAACAATTAAATATTTAAAAAAAAAAGCTAAAACCAACTTCAAAAACTAATAAAAAGATATTTAATTTCCACGTAGTTAATATTATCTGAAGTAGGGGATTTGCTTGGATACACTGTCTTAGCACTATATCTGTCTTCGATTCTTTTGTGTCGACTTCGCAGTACTACGAGATTTTTTTAAATTATTTATTCTTTATTGCATTCTTTAAACCAAAAGAATACAACGGGCTATAATATCAATGTAACAAATAGAATATCGTCTAAACAGTTAAGTAAATTAAAAAAAACCCTTTTCTTTTTTTTAATTTTAATAATTTAAGAAAATCTGGAGAATATTCAGCTTGATTTTATAAAGCTATCATATATATTTCATCATATATCATATATATACCCAAGTCATTCAATTTTAGGGGTTGAAGCTGCTCGCGTCCGTAAGAATTAATTGAATCCTGACTCCCTACACGTACCCCCTGGGTAGTACTAAACGAGCAGCACTACATACTGGTGGTAGGTTGGTCTTCTACTTGTGAGAGTCCCGACCGAGGGTTACTTGCCATCCATCTGGCAAAGACACCGCCAAATGATGCAAGTCGTGTTCCGGTATGATGTTAAGTGAAATCCATTTCTTAGGGAGAATGTGTTTGGTCATTAGCGGGTTTCGAAGCACGGTTGCACGGCTGGCCGACCGTAGATGGTTGAGGGCCCAAATAATGAGCCAGCCACTCATGAAAGGCTACCCCGTCATCTTAAGAAAAATCCTGGGATGGCTCCACCATGCCGGTTAGCGACCAGAGAGGGCCTGGTGGCGATTTCGGGGGTTCGGGCGTCCCCGCGATTTCCATGCTAGGTACCATCGATGCTGTGACTTTGTTTGCGTCCCTAGGTTATATGTGTGACGCCTCGTCCAACTGCTATTCTCTCAACCTATTCACTCCACCAATAATGACAAAATAAAAAAGAATAAGTTTGTACAGCGGTTGCACTTCCTCTCCATCAAAGTGCACCTCACAAACATTACCACCTTGAGACTGACAAGCCGCACTTACTCTTCTTGACTGAGACACAGATCAGATGTCCTCTAGATGCAGCGTACCTTGGCTACCCTGGGTACACATTGGAACATAATTTTCATCAGCGCGCCGGAGTCTGTTTTTACGTCCGCAACGACATCTGCTGTTAGCGTCTCCGTCACCTTGAAGACCCCACTTTCTCTATGATCTGGATATTGATAGACACAGGAACGGATAAAATTATTCTTGTGTACCGAACGCACAGCGGTGACCAGGAGACAAGTAGGCTGTTTGAACACCTCAGTGAAGCCTCTGATGTGGCTCTCAATGGGTACCCTAATGCACTGTTGGTTTTTTTGGGGTGGGGGACTTTAAAGCCTGTGATCAGGACTGGCCGTTCTCATACCATAAAACAGACCACGCTGGGGGAGATTCGTGGAATTTTGCCTTGTCGCTGGGGCTCTCCCAGATGGTACAACAAGAGTCTAGGATACCTAATGTGGATTAGTACACAGCCAACTACCTTCTGCTGACGAAGGATCCAGACAGGTATGATGTTCAGGTTACCTCACCCTTGGGAACTTCTGACAACTGTCTGGTGAAATCTGTCGTCATATTCCCCACCTAACAACGATTCCTACGGTGTGCGGCGAGTGTAGCGATACAAGTCAGCAGATTGGGATGGGATGCGGCATTTTTTGCATCTTATCCTTGGCGGCAGGTCTGCTTTTCGTCTGAAGATCCGTCGAGCTGCGCGGATGCCATAACCGATGTGATACGTCAAGCGATGGAGTATTTCATCCTCTTTGCTGATGTGCCCATTGGTGGTAAAGCTCATTCATGGTTCAACGCAGAGTGCGCTCCTGCTGAAAAGCACAAGCATATGGCGTTTTTATCCTGGGTCAATTCTCGAGACCGCAAAGCTCCGGATGTTAGCCTTAAGAAGAGAGACTTTAACCAAGCTACCAAGTCCTGCAAAAAGGCATTACTGCAAGCCAGTTCTGACTGCATTAAACGCATCGGTACAAAGCTCTCTGCCAAACCATCTGGCAGTAGAGCTTTTTGGCCTCTCACCAAAGCGGTCGAGACAAACTTTTGTCGGTCCACACTGCCTCCGCTGGTAAAACCAGATGGCTCACTGGCGCATGCGCCTAAGGCGAAAGCGGACTTATTTTGTTCTCTTTTTGCTTGCAATTCGCGTCTGGACAATAGCAACAGCGTACCATCTCAATTACCTCACTGCGGTACCTCTATGTCAGAGGTCCGTATCAGCAACAAGGAGGTTTTTAAAATCTTGCAGTCTAGCCGTGAACAAAGCTAGTGGACCTGATGGTATACCAGCTATAGTTCTATAGATCTGTGCACCTGAGTTGTCTCCTGTGTTAACGCGCTTGTTCCGCCTCTCATTTAGGACTGGAATAGTGCCCAAATCTTGGAAGCTGGCATTGGCCATTTGTTTTCACATTGGTGCAGCCTGTGCCTAATAAAGGTAGCCGTACCAACCCTGCCAACTATCGGCCAATTTCAATTCCGGAGAGGAAATTATATACCAATCAAGTGCCCGGCCAAATCGGGATCAAATCCAGTCCGAAAGAGAGGCTATGGTTGAGCGTGTAAATCTCACACTACAGGCAGTCTCTGAATAGGGCGATGCCAATCTCGTGGAATTCACCGCCTCCAAAACACAAGCGTGTCTTCAATGCTAAAAGGAGCCCACTCACCCTGCTTCCTACTTTCCGGAATGTATCCTTGGAGTGCATTGACCGCCTTCAGCTGTCAGGGGTTGAATTTTCACCGTATCTCAACTATGGGCGGTTCATTGAGTCCAGAGCCAAAGCAACCGCAAGGAAACTTGAAGTCCTTGCAATGCGTCGGCGGTACTTTATTATAATATTGTATAAAGCTAAGACTCTTTGCTATTATTTTTCAAAATAATAAGACATTATTGCATTGAATTATGCATTAGATAGTTTGTTTTATATTTAATTTTGATGCAACAATGATTTTTGTACAATTTTAAAAAACATTTAAATTGACGCAGAGACAGAAAGCCTAACAGATATAATAACAGCAATATCGATAATTATTTTTATGATATTACGGATCTAAATAAGGACTATAATACTTAAATTCATTTATTTACGTGTTATTTTGCTAAACACATCTACAACGAGTTGAATGTAAATTCAAGAAAAACAACTTCCTTCTGCGTGAATCCCATATCTCTGGTGCCCTTTGACCTACAGGACCCAAATTCAAACTCGACCGAGCTACTACCTCAAGGTATCCACATACCAAATTTAAAGTCAATCGGTCAAGTGGAACGGAAGTTATCGTGTCGGCATACAGACTAACAGACTGCCAGCTAAAACCATTAACTTCCTTTCAATGCTACGCAGAAGGAAGTTAATAAACTAGTTTTAAACACCGTATGAGTATTAAATGAGACTATCTAGGTAAGTATGCATTCAAATATTATTCACATTTGAAATTAACAGGCGGTATAACAACAACACGGCAATTACGGCATTCTCTAAACGTAATTAAATCAAATCATGAACATAATAATTGGTAATAACAATAAAAATATTCAACCAATAAATTATGTAAGTGCGTAAAAAGTATAAACCTAAACTTAATTAAAAACATATTATAACGAATAACGTTCTTATTTTTATACAAGTAGATAGATGTCATAACAACTTATGTCTATTAACAAAGTTTTTAGCATAGCGTCACGATTTTAGAAAATTTGATATCGCGCGTTTTTTTATTCAATTTTACTAAAAAGTAGTCTTTGTAGAAAAGTCGCCTTTTTAATTAGCAGGGCAGCAGGCTACTACGCCAAAAATATAATTGATATATTATTGATTAATCTATACATTTACAGTAAACGTTATTAACAAATTAATTTCCCCCACTATGAAAGCTGTCAAATATTTCACCTCATATTCCTAAGTAACGCCGCCCTATTGGCAGTAAAGTCGTGGATGCCACCTCGTTTGTGGCTTATTTTTTCTTTGAATTCCATGAAATGAAGTAAGTTACCTATGACCATAATTATCATGGTATAAATAAGTAGAGAAATTTCAAATTTTTACAACCTTTCATTGTAATAATAAATCATAAAAACATATATTTATAAGCTGAGCAAGGTTTTAGTGGATATAGAACAGTGCGTAGTGATAAGGCTTTTTGTTTGCTTGACGTTGGGTGCGATGAAAATAATATATACATTTTTTAACAAAAAGGACCAATTCATGCGGTAACAAGTCACCACATAACACACGCCAATTTTATTTAAAAAAAAAAACAAAGGACTGGCAGTTTTAAAACGAACAAGACGAAAATAACACAAGTGTTATGTAAAAATTTATTGTTAATTAGTACTGGTACAAAAATAAAAAAGTGACAATATTTACAACAACCAATTACAGTCAATGCCCTTCAAATTAACCACACCATACAAACAGTGACTAGATGAAAATATAATTCCAAAAAAAAATGACCTACACTTGGTTTGTGGTAAAAAATCCATTATGGCATAGATTAATTTATGAAATGCGACTTATGATGATAAAATTAACATTCAGAATCCTTAATAAGTAAGTTGTGGTGTCTTTCATATTGCATTCAATTTATATCAATAAATCACTCGTGCAGTGAAACGTGGTCGACGTGAAACAATCTGAACGAATCCTCACTCGGGTCACAGAGTGCATTTTGGCGCCGGCTGTTTCCTAGAATATTAGTGGAATGTGTTACTAAACTTGCGAAATAAAATGAATGATTATCTTTATACCAATGAGAAACCGCTACCGTGCAGAAAAAATGGAACCAGAAACTATATACCAGTACTCGCATCTCAAATATAAAAATAAATTATTAGACAGTCATTCAGTTTACAATTTTTTATTAATGTAATGTACAAAAACATGCAATTAGTATTTGAAACAGCGAGAAATATTGCTGGCTATTCAAAATGAATAAAGTGAAGATATATTAATGAGAATATATTATATTATCTGTGGGAATCATCCAGCATTATTTTCCACCATGTGAAAATTAAAACCAATTAATCATGATTATAATAAAGCACAAATTTGATGGCTTCGGTTATGATGAGGCAATTTAATAGATACTGATATTCTTCGGAGCAAATCTGGAATTATGAAAAGCGTGTGGTAAGCGATACAAGCTATGCATACACAAAACTTTCTTTAAAATTAATCAAGTCTGTTAAATATATTGTACAGGTTATTATCCTTTTTAATTATTTGTTAGTTCTTATAGACATAAAAATACCAGTAGGAAACACCAACACAATAAAAAGAGGTTGTTATTTTAATAGATCTTTTTAATGAATAAACAATGAATAAAACTATTAACTATAGGTAGGATTAAATAAAGATATTAGAGAAAATGTGCGCAAGGAAATATTATTATATAATAACCATGTGTACCGTATAACTATTTAACTGCATAATCGCCTGTTGGCGCCTACGTTAGGATTAACAACGATAATATTTCTTTATCTATGAGATACAACAACTTATAACAACATATTATATCTGTTATATTAGCTACCAATCAAAACGAGATAATGGATCCCCTACTACGCGAAATTATTACCACCACATTGGACAAGTTGATACTTGGATATAGATAAAAATAACTATTGATTATTTAATATTAGCAACAATATAAGCCGTTATCATAACAATAACAGGTGTCAGTATTTTACATAACGATGCTATATTATATACATGCTTAATTTACTCACTACAAATAACACAAATTAACACTTTGGACTAAACCACATAGGTACATTTTAATATATTAAGAATATTATTTTCCTATCCATTCTATTATTATCACTCGTGTAAAAAATACAATCCCATTTGCATTTAAGAACAAAGAAGTTTAGAAATAATCTCAACTACAAATACAATCAATGCATCCAACCTTACACATTCTACAGAACCGTTATATAAGTACTAGCACCCTGTGAAATATACATAAATATGTAGTACATATATAATAAACAATGTTATTTACATAAGTTATTTTGACTATTCTAAGTTATATAAATAGGCTCTATATTGTTCTAGAAGCTAGACAAAGGGAAGCAGTTAGTATTTGTTACTCTTACATGTGTTCCGGATGGCTGCGAATGCAGTCGATGAAGTCGCTAGGCTTTAAGTCCCCTCGGCAGATGCGGAATACGGCGGTGAACAACGGAAACCTGTAATTGAGAATAAGTTAGAAATGGCTTGATATAAAAAAAAATTAACACGGGCATAATTTTTTTATCCATTAATAGAAAACCTAAATCATGGTTTAAAAGATGGATAAATAAGTTACATATATATATAATTTCATGATAGTAATTTAATATTAATAATTAAGATGACAGTGTTCACGGAGTATGCTTTTCAGTAATTTTAGACGCTTCAAAAATTAGGCATCAGCCGCATATTTATGTATCGCATTAGCGACAGGCCCATCAATAATCCCTGTGTTGAAAACTAGAAAAAAAAGGGGCAACCCCATGCAGTTAGGACTAGACGGGCAGTGAATACAGTCGTCGAAGCCAGAATTCGGCGAAACCCTTTATGGAAACAAAGAACATTATATGGAAATGAAGATTTACTACGTCCAGGGAGGGACCACGCTCTCACAGAATACCAGCGTAAAATAGCAGCTCAATGCTGCTTGTGTTAGTGTTAGTTAGTGCTAGTGTTTCGTATGGTGAGTGTAGAGAACTGAAGACCCTTTTTACTGGAGGCATTCCATCTTAGTTCTGAGGGTTGACAACACGTTTGCATTTGGATTCTTAACCGAGGATAAAGATGTGATGGGTCACAGCAACCACTTAACATCAGGTGGACTGTGTGCTCGTTTGTCAATATTATTCTAATGTTTAAAAAAATGACCTGAACCACCTGTGCTCATAAAAATCATTTAATTTATTTCTTAAATTTTAATCATACTTGAAGTGCTTAAAGGGATTATTAATAATTATAATGACGTTACAAATATTTTTACTAAAAAAATCAATTTATTATATTTTATAAAGGCGTTTAACATACTCGTACATAAAGTCCACATGAACAAACATTCAGACCCAGAACAATTATTTATAGGCCTTACAAATACTTGCCCCGTGTGGAATTCGCGCCTGCTACCCACAGCGTCACACCGAACCACACTTAAATAAAAATACATTTCACGCTTTTACATAATATGATCACACAAGTCTTTTTGGACACCGATTGTTGTACGTCATAGACATACCATTCCCATGGTCGGTCATTGTTGCCAAAAGACGATATCTTTATAAGTATCGTATTTAAAATATTTTTCCACGTTAGAATATGTACATACATTTTTAATTTTTTTAATGTGTAATAGAAACTATCCTTTTCACTTGGGTGGCAGGCATCCATCAAATTACGGGCTTTAAAATGTGATAGAGGCATGCTGCAACTATATAATGGTTGCAGTACGAAAGGGTGAGTTTGTACCACGCTCTCACTCCTTCACAGCGTAGAACAGCAGAATAATACATCTATGTTTCATATGGTAAGTGTAGAGAACTGGAAACCCTTGTCCTTGTTGTCCTTTACTGATACGGAAACATCCCATCTGATCCCTTAGGGGTGACAACGTATCTGCATTATGATTCTTTTACACATCATACACTTACCATCTAGTGGACTGTGTGCTCGTTTGTCACACTTATTCAATAAAAAAGTACCTTTCCTAAAAACTGCCAGACCTCATTTATACACCAGTGACGCTCTTAATATTTTGAGAGAAGTCTTTGCTCAGTAGTCATTTATTACAGCCTATCAAATGTACACTGCTAAACATAGGGCTTCCCCCATAGATTATCCTATAGGAAATTTGCTATATTGTCCACTCTTGGCAGGCAGGCAGGTAGGTTGGCAACCGCAGTTTACTATTATTTTGAGTTGCTCAGTTGATTCCGTTTCAGGAATACGCAATCGCCCATCATTCATTTCAGTTCCCCTCTATCGCTCCTTATGACACCTACGGAATGATGTGGTGCAGTGTATTTTCTTACGTCGCCACTACACGGCACCTTCACTTTACAGACTTATAGATCTTATTGACATTACAGTATAGACAGGTACGTGCCCTAAAAAGTTCAGTGACTTATATTATATCTCTACGTATTCTTTGTTCAGCAAGCATGTATGAATATAAAATAATAAATTAAAATGATTCCTCAAATGTAATTTTATTAGGTAGAATTAAAAACTTGTATATTAGGAGCATGGCAGAATAAATAAACTATTAATACGTATACATAATATTTAAAAAAATATAAATAATAATTGATTTAAAAAGGTAATTAAACGCCAATTTCGTCTATTTTTGAACACAGTTTCCAACTTATATCTGAAACAGTTTAGGTTATAGAAGACCGGCGCGCTGTCTCAAATGCGTTTTGGCAGACTTCATTATATATCCCCAAATTTAATAAGACAGTAGTTTTTACGATGTTTTACCTCACAGCCGAACAGGTGGTAATCATAAAAATTATTATTACAATTAAAATTCAATTCCCGCCAGCACAAACCATGCAATAATGTTAACATTGGCCTCTAATTATACATGGATGAAAGCCAAGTACAACTATTTCAATCTGTGCCATTTTGTGACGTCACGCACGAATCGTACGCGAGGTTAACAATAATGTGTGAAGCGGCTGTGGTAGCTTGCTTATTACATACTCTAAGGTCTAAACAGATTTTTCAAAGCCTCATTATATCGAAACAATAATGTTAAGTTTTTCACAGCCCTTATCCAAGCCTTCTTTTTTGATGGATATATATAACAAACGGGTTTATATAACATGCAATACCTAAATGTTTTTCTGTATTTGCGTTTAGCCGGATTTTTTATATACACAATTGGATAGTAATATAGTTTTTCGTTCGTACAACATGCGCAGTGAGCTCAAAACATACCTTTTGTTTCTAACCTATTTTCAGTGCAATGTAACTACCTAGGCAAAGTCACTAGATTACTAGAATAAATAGTGTGTACAGCCCAGTTATTGTTAATAGCGAAGTGATATAACGCTTCTAATTCCTATCTACTAGTAACCGTATACAATGAGCATTAGAGCAGCACCACAGATATTGGATTTCATAAGAAGTAATAGTATATATTAACACATAATTAGTAAAATAATGTCGCATTACTTAATATTTTTCAGTTGTCAGAAACGACCTAGTCGTCGGCTTATATTTTCAATCCGCAATACTATCGTGTCTCAATATTTGGATAAATGTTTTAAAAAGAAAGTACCCATATCAAAAATAACTTTAATATAAATAATGAAGGGTCCAGGAATAAACAAGGCACATATACATTTAAGACATTATAATAACTGTAAATATAATAACTGTAGTAAATAATCATGAAGATTATTTTATGTAAATGTAATTATCAGACATTTCCATTCTAATTATTAAAAATTATCTTGTTTTAATTTAATTAGTTTGCACACTAGAAGTTAAATATGGCTGGATTTTGTTAAATTATTAAGATCTATTGTTGTAACCCATATATCCATGTAACCCATATAATGATTTTTTTTTTAATTTAAGATAAATTCATTATTCAAAACCCGTAAGTACGTTCATGAATAATAATTATAATATATAATTTTCATTATCCAGTATTACACAGTTATAACTTTTTGTAATTCAATTCAAAAAACATTAGCATAAATTGTTTACTTGGAACGTCGAAGGCCAACATTCTCATTACAAAATAACCTTCTAGCTTTTAAGTCCTCCTTTCTCGTCAAAACATTTTTAAATACTTACTTGTTTTCCATATTTTTATTTGCAAGCATGTGGTTGACCTCCTCCGCGGTGATGGGACCCTGTAACTTTTGTCCGTTCAACATTTCGTCCTCGAGCTCTTTAATAGACCGGCCCGTCTTCACGAAAGCCTCGGCGACTCGCCGGTTTCTACCACCTGCAAAATTATAACTTTTTTAACAAAATTAAAACGCCGCTACCCTTTGCTTCTAGACATATGTTATCATTGTCATCATTACAGCCTTTCACAATTCCACTGCTGAACATAGGTGTCGGCCAAGTAATGCTCCAAAACACGATCCTAAGTTATATCTACTTTCGGCATATCTTCCAGGTCAACAATCAAAAATCAAGAGTTTTGCCTCTTTTTGGTGGGCACTTAAACAATTTCACAAAAAACACGTTAAAATAAAGAAATAATCTACAGCCAAATTAACCACTTGGTTAATTTTAATGCGTACATTAAGTTTTGGCTTCAACGGCATCGCTTTTCAGCTTTCAGTATTGGGGCCTGGGAAATGTCCCTACATGCGCTAAATGAAAAATATAGTACATGCGTTATTTTCTTAACCCATCGACATTAAACAATTGCAAAGTAATCGTATATTATGTCAACATGCCAAACAAAAAAAAAGTAATTCTTTTATTCAACAGTGCATAAAGAATACATATTCTTCGTCGTTCTAATAAATTCACTGTTTTATTCACTTTCTAAAAACAATAGTTCGTTAAAACAAAAAAATGACAAACGTTCCGTATTCTAGAATGCATGACCTTTGTCGTTCCTAGATAATGAATATCAACAACGTCGACTGCTGACAAATTATTTAGGTCGTGCCCTATTTCGAAATTTTAAAACTGCCCTCTCTATCCCAGACATATATACCCATATACAGTCATCGATATGTATGTACTACGCACTAGATTTCGTATTCCGAACATTGACTATGTTCAACTCAACTGTACTGCAATTGAAGATTTGTGAATTCCATAGGATAATTATTATTACATTTCATTTAGAAATATGTTTATTTAGATTAAAATAAGATATTTTATATTAAATTCTTATATTTATTTTATATCAAATTAAGGTCTTCGCGCATGCGCAACTACTGCTCCCACGAATACGCGAAGACATGAGTAGGACACAGTTTTTGTTTGGAATGGCTTCTCTAGTACGTAGTACATATAACTCAATGTATACAGTGAAACCTGGTTATCTCGGATTGTCTTACTTATAGAGGGTCCTACAATACTTATAAACAAAGCAAGTATAGAAGAAAATAGTATATCGTAAACAAGCGTGTCATAATTTGTCTAAACCTGATAAATTGTCTCAGTTATACGGGTTGTAGAGCTGCGAAGTCCCAATTATAGAGGTAAACATCAAAAAAAATCTATGAAATCTAATCTCCGTTAACAAGGTTTGAAAATTCCCAGTAACAGAGGTATTCCAATGCAAAAGTGTCGGGACCTCATTGTAATTATCAATAACAGAGGTTTCTCACATATCCAGGGACCAGGGCCTACTTAACCAGGTTTCACTGTACGAGAATACGTTTGCCGTATGATCCACCTTTTTAAAAAATTAAGAAAGAAAATGTTATTTGGATTTAAACTCATAATATAGTATTTATAAATATCCCATACAAACGGTAAATTTAACTTTTTTTTAACCCCCGCACTCAAAGTGGCACGTTATGAACCATAATCTCTTCAAAATTCTATAATTAACATAAAAGCAAGTTGATGATTCATTAACGGCCGAGTGCAACAACAATTTTTTAAAGTTTGTTTGTTTTGTAATCGAATGCGGGGTAAGTACATTAAAATACATAAAAAAAGGATAAGGGATATAATTACAGTACATTAAAAAGGGATAACAATAACCATTAAAATTAAGTTCGCTTTTACACGAGCACAAAATAAAGAGAATAAAGTTCAGTGCAAGTTATCCTCATATCTTTAACTCTGAATTTCGGTCATGGCGTCCAGTCTCAACGGAGACTAGCCATCTGCGCAGTACAGGATTATAATGCACGAGGGTGTGCGCTGCGCGCTGCACGCAAGCACAGATATACTTTGTATTCCCCTGCTCTCATAGTCCGATGCGACTTTCCGAGGCAGGGTTTACGTGCTCCAGGGCACGGGGGTGCATGCAACACCGCCAACTTCCTGACTGGGAATTTCAATAATTTCTTCTAATTTTGGTCGACCCGGGATTCATACTTGGGACCCCATGATCGACAGTGGCGCTTACTACCACTAGACCCACGAGACAGAGGCATGTGAAAGATAATATTACATACACGATAAACATTTCATAAGAATATTTAATTAATCAACACATAATAAAAATTATTTCACCTTGTTTTTGTCTTGATTTAATTACTAGGTACATACATTACCGAATTAAACTGCATATCTAGCTGTTTTGCAATCGATAAAATATATTTTATTCACGCTCAACAACAACAGCTTGTATGATAAAGAACGTACATCAACCTTATCCAATGGACCTTGTCATGTTTACAAGTTTTTTAACAAACAAAAATATTTGCGCAATATTGCTTCGACAACGACTTTTGTATTCTTTGATACCTATTTCTTTATAGTGATAAAGTTAATTTTATGGTAACAATTTATAACGTCAGCAAATTTCACATACTATATTAGCTTTTGTTTCTTTTGTCGCCTGGTTAGAGTTCAACAACTCCTCTCGCACCGAGGGTGTTGTAAGGGAGGAAGTTGCTTGTAATGTAAAAACTCGTTGTCGAGGATTACACCAGTAAGACTGCGTTCTCAACTACAGCGGTAAGCTGTGGCACGGGTTATAGTACCTGTGCATAAACGTATATGGAGCTGCATGCTCGTTTGCCTCTTTTTATATAGAAAAAAACCCTACTCAAGTTCTCGACAACGGCTACAGAGAGGTCATGCGCTGAGCTGAGACCGACGGCGTTGCCACATCGCTACCTACCAACAATTATTTGACATTATGCGATTGTGTTCGGTGATCTGAAATTACGTGCGTATGTGAATCACATCATTATGCTATTGTTATGGCGAGCGGTATGCCCGTTGCCTCAAGAACAATTCATGGGCTATAGTACCTACCTAGCTTTTGCATCTCATGAACATTTACTGATTGGTGTAGATTCCTCGGCCACTTTACTTAGGTGCAACAAAACTTCAATACTATAAAACATTCAACTGCGATTACCGATAAATAAGTATGTCAAATATTTCAAGATTTCATCAAATTAGTATTTGATGCATTTTTACATAGGCCTGCAGTGTATATTTAATAGGTGGAATTTTAATGTAAAATAGAGGCGGCTACTCACTTGCCTGCCGCAGGGGCAATCTATGAATCTATGATGGGATGGCCCTTCATTGCTTACTTAATTGTGATGTGTGTATGCAAGCAGGAGCAATATCCTAAGTTGGCCCTGCGGCAGGGCGGCAGAGGCGCAAGACCTTCCCTGGATCATAGCTGCCGCTGCCACGTGTAGTGTAGCGCAATTGGGGCAATTTCAATTAGTTCGTTGGCGACTTCCGCGCGGAGCATTCGTGTGAGTACAATTCACAATGGATACCAATAAAGAGTGTGAAATTTGGACACTGATGATAGAAGTGTATAAAAAGGGGCTTCTTCACCAAGTATCTCCTTTTTGTCTCTTTTTACGGTAGCTCCGCAGCAAGAATGTTATTCGAAAGTGGTAATGTTTTCAAACGTGGTAGAACCATGCTGCAGCTTATAAGCATTATATTATGGTTGTAATTATTAATTAATTAGTTGTTTAATCGATAAATATGGGTGTCTATGGGCCACAGTATCCACTTACCATCAAGTGGACTGTGCTCATTTGTCACTGTTGTTCTATATAAAAAAGTGCCAAGGCTAGACATACTGATTCATTGATATTTCGATAAAACTGGCGCCATTCTCAACGCATGTGCCCAGCGAGACGTATACTCTCATACTGAACGGCAGGCATGTGTGTAGAGACAGTTCTGATATTGCCCTGATCGCTGTACACCCTAGATCGCCCCTGCGGCAGGCAAGTGAGTAGCCGCCTAGGCACTCGATCGGAATTTACTGTTGCCTATAAAAATGCCTCGGTGTCAGTAATGAAAAAAAAATCTTTAAATTTTTTCCTAACCAAATCCATCATCCAACCTACACAAATCCATTTTTCATAAAGCTAGAAATCTATTAAAAACTATTAATACACAAGCGTCCGTTTTGTCTCTCAAACTTTTAATTTGCTATATACGAACGCTAAATTCAACGATTTACTTTGATCATGGCTCATTTTAATAGGAAATATAATAAATATAACGTTTTCTATATTATATTTCCTATTAAATGTTTATAAGTAATAACAAGATACACAAGTTAGCAACGAATATGGCGCCATTATTTTTAGCAGAATTAAGCTTTGAGTAAAATCAATACTTTTACCGTTATCGGTTAGAGATAACCGATTATCTAAGTATATTATGTAGTATCTGCAGTAAAAAAAAGACCACTGTAACATATAACTATATAACTTTTGTATAAACGTACGTTTGAAATTCCGACAAGACCCTTTTTACTGGAAAAGACGCATTCCATCTTAGTCCTCAAGGCTGGCAACGCATCTGCATTTTGATTCGCAAACGAGGATAGATGTAGATGTCTATGGGCCACAGCAACCACTCACCATCAGGTGGACTGTGTGCTCGTTTGTCACCTTATTTCTATAAAAACAATGTGTTTTTAAATTTACTACCGCAATGCGTCGCTGTAAAAACATATTCTGTTGGACTATCAAGAACACTTATACTTATCCGCACACTTATTCTTAATTTTCAAAGTTCTTAAAATGACCAAGGAAGGATTCCTCCAAATGAAATTAAATTAAATGAAATACATTATTCCTTCGACGTAAGAAAATAAAATTTAGTTTGTAAAATGTATTTTTTTTTCAAATTTACTACCGTTTCGAAATGAGGTTATTCTGACCGGAGAAGAAACGATGAAACAAACTCTGCAGGTGTCCTCCTTTTTGTCATTTTTAAGTTAATATTATATACTAGCATTATAAAAAACAATAACATACCCATCGGTAACCAAAACAAGTTCTATAATGTATTTAAAAAAAAGAACGTTTAAAAATTTGGAGCTTATCAGTGCATGGCACAAACCAGAGCAGAACAGCCCCTGCAAGTAACACTCGTTCACAAGTATGACGCATGTGGCAGCCATCGACCACCTTAAAGAGCAATGGATAGCCCTTTACAAGGCGTCGCTGCAGGCAGATGTTTTTAAGCGAGCATTTCAACACAAGTAATGAAATACTACGTACCGTGTGTAGTATCTAGTAGCGAATATCCACTAGCCCATAACGTCCCGCAGGTGTTAAGAGGCGACAGAGGGAAACAAAGCAGGCAAAGGGTAGCCAACCCGCTTACCAATCGTGATAACTAAGGCAGTATCCCCCCTATAAAGCTATCTATGGGAAAGGTCTTTAATCAGCAGTGGACTTTTGATAGGTACCAAAGTGCTATTTTCGCCTAGCGCATCTATTAGTTTGATGGTGAATTTCAGTCATGAGATTCGTAGCCAACATGCGAAATTTGCTAGATTTTGAATACGCAGAATAATAAATACGTTACTCCTAAAGCATACGGCTTATATATGAAATGGCTATCACATTATGTATAGCAATTAAAGACAAATATTGTTCAAATCCACGTTCAAAGCCGAAATAAAAAATATAAAACAACTAATTACACTCTCTTATGAAACTCACTGTTTGAATAAAACTGATAATAATAAAAAGTTGCAAACGAACAAACTGCCAGGACCCGGGTTTTTTTTGTAGGCGTGACAAAGTGTCAAAGATTTGCTCTGAGCGACATTCGAAACCACGGCCTTAGGGAAGCGCAACTAAATGTTTAGCTACTGCACTACCTAGCCGTTAACGTTTATGTTGTATGATCATTAATGTCTTTCAAAATTCTACATTCTCTCTATGCAGTATAAGACGTATCAAGGTACTGAATACGCATGTATGTATACGGCATAAATATCAATGGCGAATACATCATTCGCTTTCAAATCCCTGACAATAATTTACAGCGGTCGGATCATTATAGCGGAATTACCGGAAGACCCTTAACACTATGATCACTGAGCTCAATAATATCTTGCAACGGGTATTTTAAAGGTCTTAAGGCTGTGTTATACTTTAACTTTTTTGCATCTATAAAACTAACTTAAATGTAATTATTGCGCAAAAACAAAATAATTTTATAAAAATTGAACATAATATTATGGAAAAGGGTTGTGTGACAGAATAATAATTGGTAATCATAAAGATAACGCAATTGCTTTTTAAACGTATACTATGTGTGTAATGAAACCATGTTTAACTTATATCAAATTAAAAGCCTTATTATGTTTAGGGAGCGTCGAGAACACATTTTAAAAATTTATTTTTATTTTTATCTTATGACAAAAAAAAAACAGAAGCCCCGCTTGCCGAGATATCTCGAGCGAGGTAAAGTTTTCATACCTACACACCTTACAACAAGAGGGCCTTAAGATAAACATAGACAGGGCAAAGATTATGTCTAAAGTTCATATCACAATACAGATTGTTGTTGGGGAAATGAGAAAACGACTCTCGAACTCTTTGATGTGATGTGCGTACTGTGTACTTGGGTTGACCACCTGATGAAAGCTTTGGGGTTGCTCAGTAATGGGTTTGTGATAAGCTGTAATTATGAATGACTTTCCGTAAGAAAATACACATACCACACAAGGGTACATATTATACACACACTGATAAACTAGTTACTATGAAGTAGTTACATCTTACCATAACATGTGGTAATAAGGTCGGCGACTCCGCAAGATTCAAAGAATGTACTAAGCTTGCTGCCAGGGTAGAACACGTCGACGAACTTGATCATTTCCATTAGACCCAGACGAATTACAGCCGCTTTTGTGTTGTCACCAAAGCCGAGACCGTCTACGAAGCCGGCGCCCACAGCTACTATATTCTGCACAAATATTGTAATTAATAGAACGGAATTTCACACTCGCTTCACGTTTTACTTTCAAGCTTATCGTACTTTCAGCTTTAATTTACCCCTTGTCAAACTCATAACGGCTAATCGATCAACACAAATGAAAACCTATACAATCATTATTTGTATTTTCTACAGACTTCAGAAAGGAGGAGGTACTCAATTCGACTGTATCTATTTTTAATGTGTGTTACCTCATAACTTTTTCTGGATGAAAGGATTTCGTCGATTCTTTTTTTATTTGAAAGCTGGTGCTCCTCGTGTCATCCCATAAAAAATGATCATGGTCTGACCAATAGTTTTTGAGTTCTTAATAATTTATATTGAAGTCGGTTGCACAAAATTTTTATTTGAAATTATTTATGATCAACACATCTATTATTACAATGGAACGAATAATTCAGAATCTCGTAAGAAATTGAAAAAGTTGTATCACGACTTTATTCATATTTCAGGTGACACAGTCATATTTAAACGAAACCAATAATAAAATACTTTGTTACAGAGTTATAGATTTATTTGATACAGAGTTATATATCTGAAGCTATAAGTGACATTTCCCATAGCCGCCTCTTACGACAAACACGGAACGAAATGGGGCGATGTATTCTCTGCTATACGCGGCAGTTTAAATAATTATTTTAGTATGAAATAAACAGTTTAATACAAGTATTGATTATGACAAAAAAACACGCTGTGCACCTAATAGCGAACGCTTACGCGTAGGTCATGGACACTTAAAACTATCCTCGATTAAGAATCAAAATACAAATGAGTTGTCACCCCTGAGGACTGAGATGGAATGCCTCGGTTTCCTATAAAAATGTTCTCCGGTTCTCTACACTTACCATACGAAACACAGGAGTAATAATAAATATAATAATATAATAACAAGCTGCTATTTTAAGCTGATATTTTGTTAGACCGTGGTTCTACCACGGTCGAGCTGACCCATTCGTGTTACAACCATAATAGGCTTCAGCATGGCTCTACCACGTAATAACTGTGGCCTCTTACGACAACCACGGGACGATATGTGGTAGGGAATATTCTTACACCGCCTATATAAACAGCCTAAATATTTGTTGCGCGTAGCATCTACGAATTTCATAGGTCTACACCTGTGTCAAATCCACTGAATTCTGCTAATATAAAGCGATAATCGGATTCATCCAACTTATCGAAGCAAATAAACTAACGTGTAAGAAGAACGAGAAATAGACACGTAATAAACAGAAAAATTATAAAAAGTTAACAAATATGAAATCAAAGATTGAATCTATGAAAAGGGATGTCACTATTTTCTACATAAAGTGACTTATAATATGCGGAAACCGCATTTTATCGCAATAATATTTTTAATCCACTGTAAAAAAACATCATCTTTGAAATCAAACGTAGCACAAATCATCGAAACATGAAAGTTTTTGTTATATTATATACTAGCTGTGCCCGCGGCGTAGCTCGCGTATACAGGTTTTACATAAAGAATTTATCGTTTAGGTAAGAGAATATTAAACGATTTATTTCATTACTGTATCAATAAGTGGTAACTAAATAAATCATTATCATCAAAGTTCTTAGTCGTTTATGATAGATAGAGCTTCTGTGTAAGCGACGTTAGAAGTAGGCTTAGCCGGGGTGTACACAAAAAGGTTACGGGGGCTACTAACGCGGGAAAAAGCAACATAGAGTTGGCCATGTGCAAAACAGTCAGTACTGAGGTACACTCCTACAACGCGTATAGTTTGACCTTGCGCTTTATTTACGGTCATCCCATAACACACGCTCACTGTAACTGGAAACTGAACGCGCTTAAAACTGAAAGGAAAATTACTTCTTAATAGAGGGTTTTTGGGCAGTGCTGCCAGATAAAAAAAAACTCATTCAGCTCTAGGACAACACAAAAAGCGCTAGATTTTATGAAAACAGCGCTTTAAAAAAGCCCTAGATTTCGCGCTAAATTAACTACAAACAAAGTTTGTGTTTTTTTATATAATCATGATAAAGAAAACAACATTAAGTTTTTTTTCTGGCAATATTTTTTTGATGTATCAATACTTCGCAGGACATCGACTTATAATTATGGCAATTGCTGTCAACAGTAGTTAGTACTGTACGAACAATAAAAATATCATTAATTGTTTTAAAGTGCAATGTATTTCGCAACTTAGTTTCAGATGTCAGCATCTGATTGCGGTTGCTACACAGTTTCTTTGTGTTATAACTTCTAAGTAACTTTTAACTTAGCTGTGCTCTAAGCAACTGACTGAAACTGAATAAAGCAAAATAAATGCGTTGCCAAAACCATGAACGAAAACTTTAATAAAGGGGATTTCCCCGCTTATAGTCGTCGGTAAAAAAATCAAGTTGATCATCCTAAAGGGGAAGCCAGGAGATCCATAGCACAGGGTATCCTAGTTTGTACTCGTCTCCCATGCTCTTTGTTTTGTGGAAAAAATATGTTTGAAAAAGATAAACTGCAATGTACTATTTGTGGGAAAAAATAATAAAGGTCATTATTATTATTATCGGTAATGTGGACTAACAGTGCTGCTATAAAAGAGTTAATAACCCGCTAGTCGCTAAAATATTGAAATGTGTGCTAATAAACCACCAAAAATAATACACCAAAAAGCGCTGGATTAAGCTAGGTGCTAAAATTTCGAAATGCGCGCTATACACTCCAAAAAAGCGCTAAATCTAGTTCCCAAAGCGCTAAAATGGCAGTACTGATTTTGCGTATATTATAAATACAATATCACGACATTTCGTTGCAAAATTTTTATTTTTGGTTGGGTTCCGTTGTATGGCTTCGATGGATACAAATTTCTTTAGTAAGTCTCAATACGATTCATCGGTGAAAAATCTCAACACAGCAATTCAGAAAAGTTTGTAATTTGTACAACTCCATCTATTACGTCCTTTGTGTGAGAAAACATCCTTTATAAATCTTTTTTTGTGTTTTAATTATAAATATATTAATTATTATGGAACGTTTTTTTTACACACAAATCTTTTTATTACTATTTCTGAGATTTTATGGCGCCATTGAACAAATTCGAACCTACATTTCAAAATAATAATCATTACTTTCGATAGAATTAACCAATTTTAATAAAACAAAGATTAAATGTAACTCGAAGATACGCTTTATGATTTTCTTAACGATTTCTTTGAAAATAAAAGATGTTTACTTTAGACGTGATGCGTTCATATAATAACAGACAAATAGACAGACAGACAATTCTAAAAATTATAAAATGTTCTTTTTTAATTATTTTCAGTTCCCCATAATGATTTTAGCCACCAAAATATATAATATACAATGTACAGAAAGAGACACAACATGTTATCATCATTTTTATTATATGTATATATTTAAAGAGAGATGGCGCTGCTAACATCAATTCTAAAAATAAAAGAGATTAATTGACGCGATTGATACATTATATAAAACGCAAGAGAACTTATAAATCAGTGCCTGCACAGTAAGCAAAAAATAAAGTTTGACTCTCGCCAAAACCAACGCAATTGTTAATAGCTCATTTAAAATTTGATTTACCACATAGAGTACTCGGCGGTAAAGAATAAATTGAGTTTGTCAACACGCAGTAGGGCAGCTAGTAATATAATAAAGATTAGCAGTAAATATGAAAACTCATCTACAGGAAAAAACCACATTGCAATTGCATTACATTTTCACAACACCACCATCTATCGAAGAAATGGGTTAACTATTGTGCTTCAGATTTAGTTAATAAGGTTAATATATTTTTGTATAATATATTTAATACGTTCTTTAATACTTTTGTTTACTGCGTTTTAGATATACATAATTATATCATTATTTTACATAATTTAACTATGATTTATGATATGATATTAGTTTAAAATGCACTTGATGACTCAACCAAAGCCACCGTTGAGCAAATTCGTACCTATACTTCCCTACCCATACTTAGAATATTTATCAAAACTTTTGATGGAATGAACTGATTTTAATGAAATAAAGACTAAATGTAACCCGAAGATACACTTTATAATTTCCTTAACAATTCTTATGATATAAATTAGTACTTTATACGTGATACGTTAACAAACAAACAGACACACAGACAGACAGACAGATGGACAGAAAATTCTAAAAATGGTAGAAATGTATTTAATTACTTATTTTTAGTACCCCTCAATCACTTTTATTACAAAAATATAAAATGTACAGACATCTGCTATTTACAGTTTTATTATATGTATAGATAACATATTTATGTTATGCAAGCGACCTCCACCGGCTTCGCCAGGGTAGGGTCTATTAATATGACGTTATTAAGTGGCGAAGCTTGCGAAGTCACTTATTGATTTCACGATGTCTGTCCGTCTGTCCGTCTGTCCCACGATTATCTCGAGAACGGTTTCGAATTTTCAAATTCTGTTTTCAGCAATCGATTTCTGATCACCCAGGCATAGACTTAAAATAAACCTAGCAAGCTAACAGCATAGCAAAGTGGCGAAGCAATCAGCTTTGTAGCGGTTTCTAACGGTTGCCGTTGAGCAATCAGTTTCAAAATAAGAGGTTCAGATGCCTGGGTGATCAGTAATCGATTGCTGAAAACAGAATTTGAAAATTCGAAACCGTTCTCGAGATAATCGTGGGACAGACGGACAGACGGACAGACGGACAGACATCGTGAAATCAATAAGTGACTTCGCAAGCTTCGCCACTTAATAATTAAAGAACATTTTGTTCAATGTTTAGCCTAGATCCCTCCCTGCATTGCTCTCTATCAGACAAACAAACATTTTTAAACTGGTTATCTATGCCTTAATAGCACGCAAATAACCCCCCGAGCTTAATAGAATTATGTACATAGATTATAGAAGTAACAAACCTTAAGAGCTCCGCATATCTCCACCGCGTCCTCATCATCGACCACGACCACTCGGAAGTACTCAGTTTGGATAATGTCACGCATCATTGGCGCCAGCATCACATCACGGCAGCCTATTGTTGTTTCGCAGAACTTCTCTTCCGCTACCTAGCAACAATGAAGTTTTTGTGATTTAAGTTTGGCGAATGAGCCACTTGAGGCATCAAAATAAAACAAAGTGCCTAGCGTTATAAGGTATTTTAGTAGACAGGCTGTACCCTATAATCATACTGGCTGTCTCACTTTCAAACCGAAACAGAATGCAGAACTTAACATCTAAACCGCATCAGGGTTAGGTTTCGCTGTCGGTCTCTTCGTAGAGAATGGGAGGGGGGAGCAATGGTAGCGGATGATTACCCCTTTAAGCCCCCTCCCCTTGTTTATGTAAATAAATCGTAACTTAAAAATTCTTAACAATTTTAAATTCTTGAAACTAGATTCTACTCGATTATATTTTATGCACTAATTCTACCGTTACCGTTTATTAACGTTATCTTTCATTGCCGTTAAAAGTGTTCATAACTAATTAGCTAAGTATTTAAATAACTAATTTATTGGTTATTAACTTGGTATTACATAACACTACACAATTTTGCTGCTAGAGAAAAATATATGGTAATTCTTTGAAAATTCGAAATGTTTCTTTTATAAAAACGATAAACGACCACACCAGTTCATTGACGGCATAACAATATACGCATAACTCTTAATAAGCTAACCTAAGGTAACAGTGCACATAAGGTATGGTCCGACTCCGACTTATTTTTTTTATATCAATGTGACAAGCGAGCTAGCAGAGACAGAGAGTCCATCTGAAATTAACTTCAAACAAAGCAGGCTACATATGTAGGTTTGCCTCAGTTTCTAGGTGATAAGAGTGCGTTTGGATAGGTACCAACCACCCTCTTGCCTATTTCTGCCGTCAAATAGCAGTGCTTGCATTATTGTGTACAAAGGCTGAAGGTTAGAGAATTAGTAAACTTATATGCCTCCATCTTAGTCCTCAAAGGCGAAAACGTACCTGTAGTCTTCTTTGAATGAAGATGTTCATGGACTGTAGATGGTAAACTGTTAGTTCGTTTGTCTCAGTTGTATATTATACACAGGTACATATATATAATTAATACTGATGAGAAGGCACTCCTGAGACCTTAATATAGAATTATAACCGTTACCGTTATAACTAATAACATAGGTTCAGCACTGGACTTTATTAGGATAGATACCCATAGATTGCCTCATAGGGGTGATATTTGCTATAGTTGCCACGTTTGGCTTGGTTTTTAATTTTTAGCCGTTATTAGGTAGACGCTACTGCCTATCTCCCGATTTGTTTCCCTCTGTCACCCCTTAGAGCATTGCTTTTCAAACTGAGGGGCGCGCCCCCCTAGTGGGGCGTGACAACATGTAAAGGGGGGCGCAGAGCCGCGGGACAAACGCATACCACCACCCCCGCCAGTTGGTCAGTATTGTTCGCCTTGTAAACATTACACGTGTTTTTTTGTCGCAAAAATAAAGTTAAGTTTATACCTTTTGTTTCGTCATGAGTTCGGCCAAAAAACGTAAATATAATGATGATTATATTAAATACGGTTTTGTTGTTATAAAAAAAGGTGATATCGATCATCCGCAGTGTGTTATTTGTTATGAGGTATTGAGCAATGACGCCATGAGACCCTCTCGTCTGGAACGACATTTGTCAACAAAACATAGCAGTTTAAAGGAAGTTTAGGCATCAAAATCTGCGAGCTTGAAACGTATGAAATTGGATAGTACTGGATCTTTTGCGAAATCGTCCGAGAAAATGCTTCAAGCTTCTTATGAACTATCGCTTATCATCGCAAAGGCAAAGAAAAGTCATACTATCGGAGAATCACTTATTAAACATTGCTTGTTAAAAGCAGCTGATATCATTCTGGGACCAGAAATTAAACAAAAATTTTCGCAGATACCCCTCTCTGACAATACTGTCAAACGTCGCATTGATGATATGGCTGAAGATATTAAAAAAACAAGTAGTAGAGGCCGTGAAAGAATCAACATTTTATGCAATACAGTTGGATGAGAGTACCGATATAGCACAATGTTGTCAACTTTTAGTTTTCGTTCGATACATGCAAAACGAAACAATAAAAGACGAATTGTCAACAGTTTCTGATTTTTTTGCGAAACACGAACTGTCGTGGCAAAAGTTAATGGGTGTTTGCACAGATGGTGCACCGACAATGCTTGGGTCTCGCTCAGGTTTCGTAAAATAGGTGAGAGAAAAAAATCCTAATGTTATTGCTATTCACTGTTTCATACACCGTCAAGCCCTGGCGGCCAAGACACTTTCAAATGAATTCAACGCTATTTTAACATTATGCATAAATTGTCAATTATGTTAAAAAGAGTGCTTTGAATACTAGACTTTTTAGGGCTCTTTGTGAAGATTTGGGTACAGAACATAAGACTATGTTATTTCATACTGAGGTGCGCTGGCTCTCAAAAGGAAATATGCTGACTAGGTTATATGAGCTTCGAGATGAAGTTATTCATTTCTTGGATAATCAAAAACAAAGTGAATTATTTGTAGAATTCAGAAAGCCAAAAGTTCAAGTGGTATTTGCTTATTTAACGGATATGTTCGATTCATTAAACTCATTAAACTTAAAACTGCAAGGAGGAGATTCAAATATAATTAATCACCGAGATGTTATCACAGCGTTTACTGAGAAGTTGCTATTGTGGAAACGTAAGATTTTAGCAGACAATTATTCGTGCTTTCCTAAATTATATGCAATCACAGAGGACAAATGTTTTATGGAGTTTTTTTGCGAAACCGACACTAAGACCGAAATATCCAACCACTTGCAGCACCTCAGTGATGAATTCAAGCGCTACTTCCCAAACTTGTGTGATGACAATATTTATCGATTGGCGACGGATCCTTTTCACGTTGACATAGACGTGCTGCCAGAGCTACTTCAAGAACAAGCTTTAGAAATGAAAAATGATTCAGCTGCCAAATATGATTTTGAGAAGATGGATAAGACATTATTTTGGGTAAAATATCTCAAAGTTTATCCCAATATAGCAAAAGAATCACTGAAACTGTTTTTACCATTTTCGAGTACTTATTTATGCGAAAGGGCATTTTCAGCAGTAGTGGTCATAAAAACCAAATACAGAAACAAACTCGATATCACTAGTGATCTACGTTGTGCTCTTTCTTCTATTCAACCCAGAATTGAAAACATTGTTAAAAATTTGCAAGCCCATCCATCTCACTGACCGTGACGATTATGTATTTCTTTGTTTTTCTTGTCACAACAATATTAATAAAAATATTTGATTATGGTTTTTTACCCCTGTTTATTATTCATTATCCTTTTACTTTAAAACTAGCCTTTTCCCGAGGCATTGCTCGCGTTAATATAGATTTTGTCAATCAATTTCTATCTTACGGGAACAATACTTTTTTTATATAAAAGGTACCTTATGCCCTATCCTATACCCCGAAATGTTGAGTAGTTAATGACAGTGTAAAAAACGACACAAACTCACTTTATTAGTTCGATTGGGATACTTAGCTAGCCCATTGATTTCCTCTTCCTTGCATCAAAGTGAAGGGGGGCGTGGGCATTTCTATTTTAGGCAGCAGGGTGGCGTGTAGAAAAATACTTTGGGAACACCTGCCTTAGAGTATCCACTACCCCATATCATTCCGTGGGTGTCATGATGATATGGGGTAGTGGATATTCTCACACCGCTTATATAGAATTATTATAATATATTAATCCGTAATTTAACGATTTTTTTAAAGTGCGTAATATTTTTTATAGAAAGCATGTGATTAACCGTTTACAGTAGTGCACTAGTTTGTTCACGGCTTATCGATATAAATAGATAGAACGGAATTAACTGTGAAGGTAACGTTGCATATAAGGTATAATCTGAGTGTTAGTTAATTTACAAAGATTATAGTTTGTTTAGATCGCCTCATCGTGAGGATTTTGCCATAGTTGCCACGCTTGGCATTCGTATTGGCAACCGCAGTTTTTTTATTATTTTGCGTTGTTATCATAAGTTATGGTCAACAGTGAATTTTTATAGGCGGCTTTAATGGATGAATGGATGACTGTTTAAAATAATGGTTATTTAACTAATTATAACCATAAGCTTTTTTGCTGATTATTCTAAAACAAAATAATGCATACCAGCAGATACATTTTCGGAAAGGCCTATTTCCAGCTGTGAATTCAAAAAGGTTGTGGATGTGCACAAACAATGGAACGATATAATAAAATGCATAGAAACGATTATATAGAAGAATTCCAAAGGTCTTGTCACAAATTATATTTTCATACAGATACAAAGAACGACACATTACACATACGACTTTACAATACTACTATTTATTGGTATAAGAAAGCCTAGAAAACAAACAAACATTTTACCGTGTAGTGGCGGTGTAAGAATATCCACTACCCCATATCATTCCGTGGGTGTCGTAAGAGGCGACAGGGGGAACAAATCAGTAGATGGGCAGCAGCGTCCTCCTAATAACGACTAAAAATAAAAAACTGCGGTTGCCAACCCGCTTGCCAAGCATGGCAACAATTGCAAATATCACCCCTATGAGGTAATCTATGGGGAGGCCTGTGTTCAGCAGTGGATTTTAATAGGATGTAACGGTCACGGTAACAGTACACAAATAGTAAATAGAAACCTACGCGAGCGCGCAAACAAGACTACACCGATAGATCGCATAACGTTACCGTTTCGGGTAGGAAAATAACCCGACCGGGAATGGGGAGCAGTACCAAACTTTATTTGTCACAGTATAAAGCGTGACGGTTAAGGTTAATTCTCCCTACAAAGGGAGAGGCCCAGCGTTGATTTACCACGTACTCAGCTATGAGGGAATAGATCGTGAGAATCGTAAAACCTGCATGTCTAAGGAATATTTATTTTGAGGATATGAGGAATCCACCAATACGTGCTGGAGAACCGCGGCGGTCTAATTTAAATTAAATTCCTACATAACCCTTCCAGAAATAAATGAAGGTGGTACCGTAAAACGGGGTGAATAGAAATCGCGGGGCGAATGGAGACACAACCAAGAA